TTCACAATAATTTTTTTTTGGAAAGTACATTCCTCACTCAGAAAAGCACTACTACCACTCAATGAAGCAGAACTCTTAGTTTTAGCTAGTGGCCACCTCAAAGTGCTGTTGGGGGAGGTGGGGAGAAATGTGGCTCAAGCACTTGAGCTCTTTCTCTCTTCAAGTCTGTTTTTATGCATGCACTTTCTCTCCCTGGAATGTTCCTTCTCAACTTCCCAGAACTCCCCTATTAAAACCCTACTCTTGAAAAGTCACCTCAAACACCAGCTGTCTTCTTCAGGATGACTTCACTATTTAAAGTAATGTATAACATATTTTATCTCTCATACCACACTTAATATATTTTCTTTCTCATGTTTTATATTGTCATTACTTATTTGTGTCTTTATCTTACTGAGCTTTAAAACTCCTTGAGGCAAAAACCAAATCTTGTTTGCCTTTGTAACCTTCAGAATGAGAGCTAACACCTACCCTGCACATTGGTGCTTCATACACATTAGCCAAATTAATTGACTCGGTCTATAGAATCCCATTATATATTTGTGTTCTATTTATCTAGGAGTGGATAGAAGGATTTTGCATTTATTTTTCACATTAGTTTTCCTTGTCTATATCCATTCTATTTAATACAAGTTTTATTTGCCATATACTTTTTCCTTTTGTGTTTATGGAAAAATATTTAATGAGAAAGTTACCCTCTAGACCAATAGCTTTTTTATTCTAATAGCACCAAAACAGAAGTAGCCTTTTGTCCAATATGATTGCTATGGGGGCAATAGGTCAGATGCTCCTCTTCTGGTGAAGAATGAGAAGCAGCAGCTGGGAAAGATGCTTGTGAATGGCCACCTTCTCAGATTAACTATTTAGTCACTCATCAAAACACTACCAGCCCAAACAATTATATACATGAGCATTAAAAGGAAAAATGCATGTACACGAAAATTGTGACTTTGAAGTTATTTCCACTCAGAGATTATCACAAAATTTTCTCCATTACTAAGGTGATGATGTATCATGAGGGAACATTTGCAAAGTAATATGAACTGATTTTTGTCATAATCGCTTTTGTAATGTTGACTATAAAACTTTACTTTTTTAAGATTTTAAATATAATCTAAAATAAACTTTATAGATTGCTACTATTTATTGAAGAAATTTGCTAAATATTACTTTATTTCTAATGTACTATTTAAACAATTTTATGTTTGTAGACAAAATCCTTCCTAGTTGTCAAAATTCTTAGAATCTGCACAAGACGTTTACTAAACTGAGTCTCATTATCTCCCAACTTCACTTTTCCCAACTTCCTGCCTTGTTCCTTGTACTCCAGTTGGTAAATCAAACATCTTATGATATTTGAAAACACCATACTGTTTCACCTTAAAGATTTTGCTCTTGCCTTCCCACCCTTCCCCTGGACACTTCTTACTCAACCTTCATGACTCAGTTCAGGTCTCATTTCCAACAGTAATTTGATCGTGGAACCCCAGCCAGTATGACCTGCCTTTATCATTTCCCCATAGTCCCCTTGTCATCATCTTAAGTGATCACTTACTGCCGTGTAACATGTTTTATTGTAGTTATCTGTGTATTTGTCTTTTATTCCCAATAGTACATAGACTTTTCAATAGAAAAACCATTATGTATTTGACTTTATATTTTCATTTTCTAAAAGTGTACCCTTCTCCTCCTAGGTCTTCCTAAGTGACTGAACTAAATTGTCCAAAGACCCTTAAATAGATTCACAATGCTACCTGGGCTATTCATGTTTTAAGGGATATAAAAACTAATATAGTTACAACTTAATATAGATAATAGAATTTCACTACAAGAATATGCCTATAAATTTATAAAATATCTGATTTACATGAATGGGAAATATAATTCATGTGACCTTTCATTAATAATATAATTTTCAGGTGTTTCTTTGAGTAAAAAAAACTTTTCTTTTAGCTTTTAATGTTAAGATAATTATAGTCATAAACTTGTAAGAAACACAGGGAGATCCAGTATGCCCTCAACTCACTTTCCTCCTGGAGGCTCTTTTAACTGGTGTTTAGTTTTGCTTCAAAATATACGCATATAGAACTATAAGCTACTGATCCAACAATCCTCAAACAAAATTCTAGAGCTCTTTTCCAAAAATTATTTGATAGGCAAACTTGATCATCCTCACCAAATAACAGAAAAAACAGGAGTGATTCCTTATGAAAAGTAAAGAAGTTCTCTAGGCTTCAGTCCTTCAGAGTTCCCCTTTTACATTCACAGATGTTTATAAGAGGTGCAGTCATTGTCCAATACCCACAAGATGATCAAATTATAACTTACCTGACCATACGCTGTGTCCAAAAATTATTTTCAAAATTCGAAAGGATTTTAAATCACCTATGTCTTCCCTCTTTCTATTTTGAGACAATAACTAAATAATAATATAAAAATAATAGCTAAACCTTTTTAAGCTTGCCTAAACTAGTGGCAGAGTGGGAAAAAAAAAAGGTTGATTGAGTCTTTGAATATTGAGCTCTTAATCAGGTAAAGCAGAAAGAAACCAAGGCGTATCTAAGCTAAATATAATCTACAATACCACATGCAGTGCGTCCTCAGAAATAATTGGTCAAAAATTCAGATATATATTATACTATTACTATAGCTCAGTCTGTTAGTATAGTTTAATCCCACAATGTTGCATGCACCTTCAAAAATATTGGTTTATTTTTGGATTAAAATCACCCTTCATTCCTCTTTGTTCTATTAATTTTCAGTTTCAAAAGTATACATAAGGTAATATCTTGCAGTTTACTGACAGTACTTTCTTGTCTTTTAGCCAGACAATGTAAGGAACTGCCTAATCTTTTGCCCCCGAATTCTACCTCCTGCTCTGCTTTGTATTTTCTGCTTATGACATAAATAAAGTATATTAGATTTTGTTCTCTAAGATTCAGACGTTATCCTCTGTGGCATGCCATCATCCTTGGGAGGAACAGCACATTAAGTCATTAAAGAAAATTATCTTGATGAGTCATTTTGTCAGATGGTTTACAACAGGATTCCCTTGTAGGAATGGGAAAGAGGAGGAAGAGATGATGGAGAGGCAACATAGTCAGAGATGGCGAGCAATAGCATCTAAAAGTCAGAGGCTTAAGTGTTAACAACCATTATTCCTGACCTTTAGCACCTTACCACCTGTGTGTGTGTGAGTTAAATAATCTCAGTATATCTTCCTTTTTTTTTTCATTTGTAATCGAGACCAACAATAGTATCCTTAGAGGGTTATTGTGTGAATTAAAATATTTTTCAGAATATGCAAATAAATGTGTGTGTGTGTATTTGTACGTGTGTGTATACCTTAGGGCAACTACCAGCATAAGGGAAACGGATGTAAAAAACCACAGATAATGTCTCCTTTATCCTTCACAATCTTTCCTTGGTTTTGGCTTGCAAATAGAGTGAGATATACCTCTTTTGATGAAAAGGAGTGCTGTGTTAGGTCAGAGACTTCCTACAGATACATGGACAAAAGGGTCTCTGACATATAGTTTTGGCAAAGTCTCTGGTTATGTCAACTTTGCAACAGGGGAAACTCAAGCATTTCTATTAGCCTCCATAAGGCTAACCCGTGAAGGAATAGGACAGAAGGTATTAATCTCTCGAGAGTAAGTTAAGCCACTCTATCTCTATGGGTAGAGTGAAAACATATAATCTGTAGACAACATTGGGGATGGTGTTTCTCATGATACATGACAAATGATAATATGCTCAACTTTCAGATTTTATGTATTAAGCCAATGGGAATTTGTATGTATTGCTCAGGATTTACAAAGCCCATTGAAGAATTTCCAAAATCTGGAACTGTTGGAGAAAAATTCCCCTCTAATGATAATTAAGAAGATACTAAGTTCCAGGAAAATTCTAATCATTTTATAGGTACTATCTCATTTAATATTCACAACAAAATTATGAGGGAGGTACTATTATGTTGCCCATTTTGCAAATAAAATTGAGTCGTGGGACACTTCAGTGACTTCTACTGTGGTAATTCACTAATAAATGTAAAGCCAGGAGTTGAACCCAGGTATTTTGGCTCCAGGGTCCACATGCTAATCACAATGCTACTTCTCTACCCTGAACAAACTGCTGAGAATTTTGAAATATGTAGTTTTAGTTCCTTAAGTCTTCTTGAACTAAAATGGGTGGGCACTTCGGGTAGACGATAAACTGCCTTCCCTATTGTGATCTACGAACTTTTCCGAGAAAATTATCTTTAGATGCAGCAATAGAAACTTGTGTATAAGGGGAAAAGGAGCTGTTGTCTACCTCTTACTACTTCCCTAGATTTTCCATTTTTCCTAGGAAAAAAAACTTTAAAAGTCCATGTTTATGGATTTTCCCCCAACACAGAGCAGTGATTCTGCTATTTCAGAGACAGTGTAGATGTTGGGATTAGTCTCTCTGTATCTCAGAATGTCAACACATTTGCCAGAAATGAATCTATCAGTTAAATGTAACCAAGAGATTTAGTTTATCTAGATCCTACAAAGAAGAAATAGTTTACCACTGTTTTTACATATTGAGGTAATCTGACGTATTATTGACATGTGCTATAGATTTAATTTAATACCATAGTACAGATATGTGCTTTGATAACTTATTTTGAAATCTAAACTGAGTGGAGTTGTTTCAATATTTATAGGGTTGAAAATGCAGAGTTAGCAAAGGAAACATTTTAATTAAAACAATATTTTTCTACGTATGCTCAGAGTAAAATGAAGGGGAATTCTTTTAAAGCCTTATTACTTTCTTCCATATATTTGCTGGAAATACTTACTGGGTTTTAAGACACATTGAACAAGATTTGCTTGTTTGTTTACCAATGTTTTGAGCCTTTTGTTTTTAGAACCACCAAAAAAAAAAAAAAAACCTCAATAGTTTCTTTTGATTTTACTTTTCTTCCAAATAGCTTTAGGATTATTTATTTAGCTTTTTCAAATTGTATGTTTTAGGCATCCTGGAGATAACATCAGTAGAAATCGGAGTTGTTGCCGTCAAAGCCATTAACAGCAACTATTACTTAGCCATGAACAAGAAGGGGAAACTCTATGGCTCAGTAAGTAATTCTGCTTTTGTTTTCAAATCCACTTCAGTAAATCATTACCACAGTTTTGGAATGTTTCCTCCAGACACTGAATAGCTTTGTTATCCTTCTATTGCTAGTAAATAGAGCCACAGTGGGTCGGTCACCACTGTTTCAAGGGCTGGGCAAACAGCTCTTCCAATTCTCTAATCTCCTCTGTTGTTCACCCATTAGTCCACCACACAGGCTGCTGCTGGCATGTGTCTGTGAATGTTCTAAACTGCTAACCAAGTCAGGCTCTCACGGAAGCATCTGGTCAGATTGGCACGGGAACTGCAGACAACTTGGAGAAAAAACACTAAGAATAAAGATCTTGAATTGAGTAGAAACCCATGTATTATGTGTGTGTTATGGCTGAAGATAAAACAAGGGCTCAGATGTTTTGCATTTTGTTAAAATCTGAAATGGGGAAATGCATCAAGAGACACCATTTTGCTTGTTGTTCAATCAACTCTAGAATTTTATTTGTCTAGACAATAACCATTAATTCAAATTATGCCTCAAAATCATATATATGTATATGGGAAATATTCTTTGCAATAGGGTCCTTGTGGAGCAGATATCCCTGCAGTGCTTTGGGCACATCCATGGCTGTATTCCATACCAGGTGTTGAGTATTTGGAATACCACTTCGCAATCTTGGATCAAACTCATTTAAACCAATTTTTTAGAAATTTAAGATCTCACTTAAAATACCAAATAGTTGTTTTATAATTGCAATTGTAACAATAATTAAATTACCAGCAGTGAGACAATTTGTCCTGTTCAGGTCCTTAGAAAAAAAATGCATCAATCAATCATATCAACATCTACCATATGCCAGATACTGTTTGACGTATCAAAGATGCATAAGAAAGAAGTATAGAAATGGGCCTTGACTTCAAATAATTTATAATATATTTAGGGGAAAATGTTAACAAATATGAAATAATTACAGCATCATTGGTTGTTACATGTATGAAAGGATCAAGTATAGTAAAGCAGCCCTATGATAAAGTTGGGAACTAAGTTTCAATCTCTTAGCTGTCATTCGAATGATGACAGGGGTATATTAGTTTGTGCATGTGGATCCATCTTATTGTGTCCCTCCCATAGGTACATCAAGGGGATGCTAACTGAATTTCATTTTTTTTCCTCTGGATTCTACTGCAGGGGAGTATATTGAAGGCAGCTGTAAACTTGGAAAAATTTTAACTGAATTTTTTGGAGAACATGTAATGTTACATATGGCCAGAAATAAAATCTGTGACACAAATCTCTTAAATAATTTTATATTTTTCAAAACAGATCCTGTGTCATTTTTACACTTTTATGTAATCAAAAAGGAATTTCACTTTAAATTTGTAGATAAACTTACTTTATTGATTAGCATAAGGCTGATGATAGTGACCATTTAGAACCAGCAGCTCTCAAACTTGAGTATGCATCAGAATCACTGGAAGGGCTTATTAAAAGACAGAATAATGGTACTCACAGCCATATTTTCTGATTCAATAAGTCTGTGGTGCAGTTCAAGAATTTCCATTCCTCACATGGTCCCAGGTGTTCCTGATGCTGCTGTTGCAGTAACCACGATTTGAGAACTGCTGGTCTGGATGTAGGGTAACCTTGCGTTTTACAAATATCAGATTCACTTTTAACTGGGGAGTCAGGCATGCTTTGAGTTGGTCCCTGGGACTAGGGTAAATGGTTTTTATGTGTGGGGGTCAGAGGAATTTTAGTAAAATTTCTCCATTACCGTGGCTCCTCTAATGAACCCAGAGGAATACCAGACGATTATAAAAAGTGGCTCCATTTAGGGGTTCACATCATAATCACTTTTGAGGCATGTTTAATGTTTTCATTACTTAGTCTAGACCCAACGTCTTAAAGTCAGCTAACACTAATTTAGACTAAGGAAGAAAATGTAAATAATTTTAGTGAATATAACATATTTTAAATAATTTTAATTGATAAAATATACTTATTTAAAAACATGACATCAAGGAGAAATGGATAACTTTCAAATAAACTCTGACATAAAAATATTTAATAATTTTCTTCACATTTCTCCTTTTTTCTTCTGCCCCAACACAGCTCATGGATTGTGCTTATGCTTCATCTTGAGCTCTAAGCTCTGTGAATTATTTCATTCAAATTCTTTATCTAAAGTACAGTCCAGTGGCTTTCTATTATCTTCAGTGGCACTTAGCTGAGATTTCTCTCATTAATGTTTTTTGTTCACTGTCTTCTCCCAGTAGATTGTGACCTTGGAGACAGCGAGGTCAGTCTTGTCCCCTGCTATTTGTTCAGCACTTAGAACTGTACAGAGCACAGTTATACATTGCATAAACCTAACCTCTCCTGGAAGCTCAGTCAATTACAGAACATGATTTACACTTCCAGCCTGTCTCAGAAAGAAACTCATTCTCTAACCATAATATTCTTTTTTCTGTGACTTTACATTTCTACTAGGAATAATGAAAAATTATGGCTTGTTAAAATTAAACAAAAAATTTATTCAAGTTGAATGTTCTGCTCAGAATGGAATAGGACTAACATCAAAATTTATGAATGCATATCTAATATAATTCTGTATATTAGGTGACAACTCTTGTAATTTCTACCTTCATTTTTTTGTTTCGTCTAGTATCCATCGATTCCGTAAGCCCTCCTAAAAATCTAATTTGGGCAAAGATTCAGATTGACTGATTAAACCAGTTTTATATCTATTCTCTTGAATGATCTTCCTCTATTTCTTTTTGGAAACTATATACCTTTCTTATATTTTCATTATTTGTTATCAAAGCAATGTATCTATTGTATTGTGAGTTTTCTCCTGACTGATGGGATTCAGTAAATAAATTATAAAACGGAATTAAATAGAATAGGCCTTCATAGAGCATGATTTAAAGACCAAAGAAATTTTTCAGGTAGCTGGAAAAAATCCAAACTTCTTTTTAAGAAACTCCCCGAACCCTGCTTTTGAGACCTTGCCATAGCCTGAATTTTCTTTTTATACATTACTGCTTATGATTTTCTTAGATCCTGTCAACAATATATTTGAGGCCCCTTCTCCAGAGATTTTGGTACCTTTGACCTATGGCCCAAATATTTAAAACATCTGAAAGAAAAGGCTGATACATGTGCACTTCAATTTAAGAAACATTACTCTATAAATTAATTTTTGGGAGGAAAATTAATTAAGCATACATTCCCACTTTTCTCTACATAGCTTCATCTGAAACACGAAATCACCTCAAATAATCTCAGTCCTTCATTAGCCTCTAAACGTACCCCATTTATTGAAATGAACATAAGTATCCATATTTTAAAAATTAACTCTGCTTTGAAAAGTAGGTAGTTTTAGACAGACTGAGATAAAGAGAATAAAAGTAAATCTATACTAAGGATTTATATTCCTTTGAAATACAGAATTATTTTTGTTTTATCAAAATCCTTACCTTAAATAATTTACCTTTCCTTCTTATTTTCAGCCAGTTAAATCATCATTTGAATGTTATGTTTAAATATTACTTTATAGAAGAGAAGTATTTAAGACTAAAATATTTCAGGACAGGTAACTTGAGCTGGTAACATTAACATAAAATATATCTGCTTCTTATGGTTCTGATGATGTTCAAAATTGTGATATATCCTATAGACACCTAGGTATATAAACATATACATTTTCAGGAATTTGAAATTTTGTAGAAATTTCAAAATGTCTCAAGGTGAGAGAAACTGCCAAGTAGAGTCCTCAACTGAACTATGCCTACGGGGCCCTTGCTCTGGATGAAGAAGTTAGAACCAGAGGGCAAGTGCTCCAATTCCTTAGCTTCTTAACTACTTTAGTTTGAGTATAAAAAAAGAGCTTACTTCTAAAGCCAGAGTCTTGAGATCATTGAGGTACCTCCTCTTAACTCCAGAGTAAGATCCTGGATTTGCGGAGTGAGTGAGAGCAAAGCCTTGTCCAGGTGTGTCTCCTTAAATCCAGCTGGCCTCCTGAACAAAACCAAAGCTCTATGGCTATAGGATGGAACTTCCCAGGATCAAAGTCCTTAGGCTTATACAATATAGGCATTGCTATTCACCATGCTCACAATTTCTTCAACACAGTAGTTCACAAAATGAGGAATTCCATGTCCTAGTTTTCAATCCCTGGAGTTCATGAGCAAAATCTGTCAAAATTCCAAGCTATAGAATATTGCAAATAATTTCATTAAATTAAGAAATTTGATATTTGGAAGGAAGATATCTCCCTTTTTGGTTATGTAGAACTATTGTGGTTTTGCTATAAGATCTGCTTTCTTATGAATGTGTGTGTGTATTTATTGTGGATTTGTAGGTAAAGTTTGCAAACTTGACAAGCCCATATCTTTCCTTTAGTTCTATTTTTTCCCATTGGCCCCTGGTTATTACTGTAAAAGAAGCATTATAACACTATTCTTTATTACTGACTCATCACAAATATTGTTAGTAGGATGTCTACTTCTTGACAATTATTCTAGGCCCTTAAACCATGTAATATTCAAAGCGCATCAGCTTTTTAAAACGGCTTTCAAAAAATGACTATGATGATCAATTAAAATGTATCATGTGCTTTCAAACAGAATGTGTTTTGTGGCTCTGAGATTTACTTTTCTATTGTTGACATTATGTATTAAGCACACACCTTAGGTACAGATGGCAACTACAAACAGAATCCTGGGACTGGAATTCTCTGGATCGTTTGTATCAAATGAAATCAAGTACAATCACCATAGGAATAAAAGAGTCTGTTGTTTTTCCTTTGCAGAAAGAATTTAACAATGACTGTAAGCTGAAGGAGAGGATAGAAGAAAATGGATACAATACCTATGCATCCTTTAACTGGCAGCATAATGGAAGGCAAATGTATGTGGCATTGAATGGAAAAGGAGCTCCAAGGAGAGGACAGAAAACACGAAGGAAAAACACCTCTGCTCACTTTCTTCCAATGGTGGTACACTCATAGAGAAAGGCAACATTTGTGGATGCAGCAGAACCATGGCTCTTTTGCCAAGAATAGTGGATATTCTTCATGAAGACAGTAGCTTGAAAGGCAAAGACATGTTGCAGATGTCTGCTTGCTTAAAAGAAAGCCAGACTTTGAAGGTTTTTGTATTCACTGCTGACATATGATGTTTTTTTAATTACTTCTGTATCATGTCTTATAATCAAGATATAGGCAGATCAAATGGGATAGAAGTTATTCCCAAGTGAAAAACATTGTGGCCGGGTTTTTGTTGTTGTTGTTGTTAGGTTTTTGTTTTGAAACTTCTGAGATAGAACTTAAAGGACATAGAACAATCTGTTGAATGAATGATCTTCGGGAAAGTTATTTATGGAATACGAACTCATATCAAAGACTTCATTGCTCATTCAAGCCTAATGAATCAATGAGCAGTAATACACACAAGCATTTACTGGAAAGCACTTGGGTCATATCATATGCACAACCAAAGGAGTTCTGGATGTGGTCTCATGGAAGAATTGAATAGAATTTAAAAATATAAACATGTTAGTGTGAAACTGTTCTAACAATACAAATAGTATGGTATGCTTGTGCATTCTGCCTTCATCCCTTTCTATTGCTTTCTAAGTTATTTATTTAATAGGATGTTAAATATCTTTTGGGGTTTTAAAGAGTATCCTCAGCAGCTGTCTTTATCTTTTCTTTTTCTTCAGCACACCACATGCATGTTCACGACAAAGTGTTTTTAAAACTTGGCAAACACTTCAAAAATAGGAGTTGGGATTAGGGAAGCAGTATTAGTGCCCATGTGCTATCAGTTGACTTAATTTGTATTTCTGCAGTAATAACCATCAACAATAAATATGGCAATGCTGTGCCATGTCTTGAGTGAGAGATGTCTGCTATCACTTGAAACCATACATTACTCTCGAGGCTTCCTCTCTCAATAAATAGACCAGAAGGCTAAATTCCTCTCTTTCAATACATCAATTTACCTCCAAGAATATACTAAAAAAGGAAAATTAATTGCTAAATACATTTAAGTAGCCTCGCCTCATTATTTACTCGTGATTTTTTGCCATATGTCATGGAGGTAAAGAGACTGTCCACATCTCTAAAAACCCTCTGCAAATTCCACATAATGCATCTTTCCCAAAGGAACTATCAAAGCATTTGATATTAAGTGCAACTCTCCCAGGGACTTAAACTGAGCAAATCAAATGTATACTGGTATATGTGTAACCATATACAAAAACCTGTTCAAGCTGTATGACCTCATCTTTACAAAACCAAATAAAACTTGTTTTCTGTAAATTTAAAGAGCTTTACAAAGTTCCATAATGTAACCATATCAAAATTCATTTTGTTAGAGCAGGTATAGAAAACAGTACATAAGAGTTTACCAATCATCATCACATTGTATTCCACTAAATAAATACATAAGCCTTATTTGCAGTGTCTGTGGTGATTTTAAAAATGTAGAAAAATACTATTTGTTCTAAATAATTTTAATCAATACCTATAAAAGTATATTGATGCTGCAATTTTAGCTTCATATTTCTTGTTTTGAAAAAGTGTTTTATTGTTTGGACACAGTATTTTGGTACAAAAAAAAGACTCACTAAATGTGTCTTACTAAAGTTTAACCTCTTGAAAGGCTGGTGTTCTGTGATTCTCTTACAAACTTATAGGTGTCAGTACTTAACCAGCACTTCCATTTAATCTGTTATTTTTAAAAATTGCTTTATGAAGAATTTTTTTGCATAAAATAATCCTATAAAAGGTCATATTCTTCAAAAAAATTGTATTTCAGAAGAAACACATTTGAGGCACTGTCTTTTGGCTTATAGCTTAAATTGCATTTCATCATACTTTACTTCCAACTTGTTTTTTGGCAAACGAGATTATAAAAATGTTTAATTGTTGTGGTTGGAATATGGATGTTAAAATTCAATTGGTAATTCAGTCTGTGAGCTATAATGTAATGTGTTCCTATCAAAACTAGGTATCTTTTTTTCCTTTATTTTAAAGTAATAATTGCACCTGACACATAAACATAGACCACCCACAACCAAAATTAAATGTTTGGTGAGACAAATACACATTGGATGACCACAGTAACAGCAAATAGGGCACAAACTGGATTCTTATTTCACATAGCCATTTAGATTACCAAAGAGGCTATGTGTAAACAGTAATCATTATAGTACTCAAGACACTAAAACAGCTTCTAGCAAAATGTATTACAGTTTGCAGACACCAAAAATAGAAAACATCTCCCTGTCTCTCCCACACTCCCCTCACAGTAAGACAAAAATCCTGCCTGGTGCAGTAGCTTACACCTGTAATCCCAGCAGTTTGAGAGGCTGAGGTGGGAAGATGGGATGGCTTGAGTCCAAGAGTTCTGGACAGGCCTGAGAAACCTAGGGAGACATCCTTCTCTTAAACAAAACAACACAAAACAAAACAAATGTAGCCATGCGTGGTGGCATGTACCTGTGGTCCCAACTACTCAGGAGGCTGAAGCAGAAGGATCTCTTTGGTCCAGGAGTTTGAGGCTGCAGTGAGCTATAATCTTGCCACTGCACTCCAGCCTGGGTGAACAAGAGCCAGAAAGAAAGGAAAGAGAGAAAAGACAGAAAGACAGGAAGGAAGGAAGGAAGGAAGGAAGGAAGGAAGGAAGGAAGGAAGGAGAAGGAGGGAGGGAGGGAGGAAGGAAGAAAGGAAGAAAGGAAGGAAGGAAGATTGTTTGGTAAGGAGCAATGACATTCTTTTGCATTTAAAAGTGGCATGTTTGCTTCAAATGGAAATAGAATTCTGGTCCCTTTTGCAACTACTGAAAAAAAAAAAAAAAATCAGTTTCAGCCCTGAATGTTGTAGGTTTGAAAAAAAAAAAAATGGAGATTTTGAGAGCTCTGCCTCTGTAGGAGTATGGCCCTAGGCCCACAAAGTTAAAGTGCATCAGCCACAAATATGTGTCTATTTGAGTTTTGCTTCTGAAAATACTCCTCATAAAGGTATAGAATCACTCTCTCCTCCTAACTCCCAAAAGGCCAAACAGTTATAGCATGTTACATTTAAATAAAAACAATAAAAATGTTGGGAAAAGAAAATTAAAATATTGTTCTTGTTTGTTTTATTAGTCAGAAACTCTACCTGGTAATAAAGAGAGAAGCTCAAGTATGTGCATGGCAGGATGTGGTTAAATGCCCAACAGCCCCAAACAACAACAGAAAAAATAAATTACTCAAACATTTGTAAGGTTTCTTTAATGTTTCACATGTGTGAGTTAGCTATCCTTACTTTAATAACAACCAAATGCTTTCAATCTTTCTTAAGTATTCAGGTCCACCTAATTTACAGAGTGGATAAAGAAAAATGAATTGGAAACGAGGATGGCTTGTGAAACAATGGAAGACTTTTGGAGGAAAGCCAGGTGGCTGCAGAATCTGATTTCAAGGGGATGAATGACAAATGAATTTGATTTGAAAATTAGAGAGAAAAAATACATAATAATGCAAGTTGCTTCCAGGGCCCAAGCAAGTTTATGAACCCAGTTTACATAGATCAGCATTAATGCTGCACAGTTCTAATAATTTGGATGCTGCCAATTCAAGGTTTATGATTATTCAGTGAAGTAAAATTTACCTTTTTCATATTAGTGAAGGGTTAGCTGGTTCAAATTTTGTCTAAATAAAGTTATATATATATACACACACACACATATGTATATGTATGTGTATATCTTAAAATATTTAAGAGAAGATGTCTAGTACATTAGAAGTAGGACATACACATGCAAACAGATACCATATTGATTAAGAGTTCTTGTTTATTTCATGAAGTAGGACTTTTCCAACTTAAACTGAAAAAAATAAAAAATAAAAAGGAAGAGGAATATCTTTGAAGGATGCTCAGGAGAAAAAGGAACTCTGAGTTCTATAGTACTTAGAAATGAAGCAACGAAGATCTGCTTCCTCTCAGACATTCATTTTCTCTTACCTTTTATTGGTTTTATTTGGTTAGGCTAGATTGCTTCGAGTCTACTTCTCTCCTACTACAAAACCAAAAACCCCAAACTCCTTTCCTGCAAGATCCAAAAAGGTAAACATCCTAGATGTAACCCTTATTGGCCAGGTTTGGATCACATACCAACCTCTAGACCAATCAGTATAAGAGATTTGGGCATTGCCATTGACCAATCTTCAGTGATATGACCACAGAGAGGCAAGGTGAAGATTTTGGCAGCCCACACAACTGCAACTAGTGAAGAAGAGTACACCAAGGAGACAGCAGTGCTGCAGGTGCAAACACCAAATGGTTGTTTGCTACATCTTATTAAATGAGACTATGATGTAAACACATTTTCTATTCCTATATTTCCCACCAATTCCAGTTATTCTTCACCTGTTTGTCCAAATCAGAAAGGTTTCAAGATCTCTTTCATATGTTCTTTACCATCGAAAGATTATATTTGCATTGTTTTGTTTTAAGCCAAGAGTAGGGTCCTGGATATAGCTAGGCTCACTGTGGTTTTGCATACTTTATATTGGCATGAATGCAAGTTTTCACTGAATAAAAAGCTGGTCCTTCTACTTCAACCTGTATCACAACATGATGTTATAAATGTTTCTTTCAGTTTATCCCAAGAGTATGTGCTAGTATTTTCAAATATATCAAAATATAGAAAAATTCTGAAACCCTGATGTCATTCATTTTTAAGTGTAAAATAAAAAACGAAAAAAGAAAAAACCTGATTTTTCTTTTACTACATTCAACTACATTCAACATGTGACAAAAGAAAACTTTATCATCTAAACTTTATCTATTTATCTTTATTTTTGCAGAATAGTAAAAAATACATCACAAAATGCCCTTGCAAGTGAATAATCTGTGGAAAACACCTTCATAAATACCATGTATTAGTTAAAATGGAATAATCATGATCAAACTAATGAGGTCAAAGGAATTAGTCTTGTTCCTAAGTGGCTAATAATGAACATTTCCATGAGCCTGTTCCATGATAGCAACAAAGGACAACAATTTCATACACAGAGAAAAGCCATATGCCAAACATACATGCATGTGGCATGTATTATCTTACACATTTTTATTATCCGCCACAAAAGAGTCCATGTTCATTGTTTAATACAGGCAATTGCATCCTCTAGAGATGAGCACAGCAAATGAAGAATCAAAATACCCCATGTTCCTCATTACAACCGTAAATTGAACATATGCCTTCATACAACTTAGGCAGTGACCCCAGCTATAGAATAACCAACTACAGTGAGGCCTTAGCTCTCCTAAAGTTTGGTTTTAATTACCTTATACACATCTTAAATGCCTAAATCATCTTACAGTTTTCTAAATTAGTTATTATCTCTGTGGTCAATTTAAGCTGCTGACAATGCAAATATTCCCAGCGAGGTCTTTCAAGGAGAAGTAAATTAAAACCAGTGTTTCATGAGGTATTACAATTTTTAAAAGACTGCTTTTTATGGTTACAAGAAGTATTAGGGTTGGGGTCACTAATCGAATCAACTCAGCATTAAAAAGATTTTAACATCAGGTATATAAACACTAAATGTCTTGATAGTCATTTTTTTCAGTGACATAATATGTTTAGATATCAATGGTGTTTAAGTCAATACCTATAAAATGTTACAAGAAAAATATACGTTTTAGGGGGTTTTCCCACTGAGGAAAACAAGAGAGAAGCACTGAAATATGGTATGAATGTAAGTAAAGATACAAACAATACCTTATTTGCTTTCCTGGCAAATCAGATACTGCATTTTACAATTTGTGTTTATTCTCATGTAGCAAAACATGAAACTAAATGCGATTTTCAAGTCAGTGTCAGCAATCATTTCTCCTCATCTTATAAAGTTCTGCATTTCATCCTCCAAGGTCTCCTAAGAAATGGTCAAATCAGTATATTTCAACTGCAACAATTAACTTATCTTTCTCTTTCTCCTCATTTTCAATGCCGGGTTATATTAAAT